CGGAAAGACTAGTCCAAATATTGTCGCTTCCACCAGGACCACGGACACAACATTGATGACTGTATCAACCTCAAGGATCAGGTCGAGACCTTCATTCGTCAAGGGCGTCTCAGCCGGTTCACGGACACCCGCCCATAACAGAGACAAATAACCGAGCCCCTCAGGAACAACCGCCGACGTACCCCACCTTGGCAGCTAGCCCAACCTAACCAAGGCTATGACCGCCTCCCACAACAGCCTCGGCCCCCAGGTAATCCCCCTCCGCCAGTTGGTGAAATCCGAGTCATCTCTGGTGGCCTTGCTTGTGGCGGACCATCCCGCTCCGCTCAAAAGGCAGAGCTCAGGAAAATAAGGCAAGGCTCGGACAAAGCAGTGGACACGGTAGACCGACCTTTCAAGCAGCCCAAGCAGTGGACAGAGCCCATCACCTTCACGGACGGCGATTGTACAGGCATTCGTTATCCTCATGATGACCCCCTCGTCATTTCTACCCTTCTCTCTAAGTTACTCACCTTCCTTGTGGTCGACTGTCCCTCTACTTACAACATCATTCTCGGTCGCACCGCCCTCAACGCTTTCCAAGCTATCACTTCAACCTACCACCTCGCCATAAAGTTTCCCACCGACCAGGGGGTCGGGACAGTACGGGGAGAGCAGACCATTGCCAGGGAATGTTATGTCGCCTCACTCAAGAAAGTCAAGCTGAAGGAGGCCATGATCATTGAAGGACTTAACGCCCGAGATGAGGACGAGCTGGTCAGAGGCAAACCGGTGGAGGAGCTCGTTGAGATTCCCATCGATCCCACTAACCCAATGAAAACTGCTAAGATCGGCAGCCAGCTATTCCCCCAAGCTAAGGCCGACCTTACTGCCCTTCTGACCGAGCACAATGATGTATTCGCCTGGACTCATTCAGATATGCCAGGCATCGACCCTTCTTTCATAACTCATCGCCTCAGCATTGAATCTCATTTCGACCCTACCGCCAGAAGCAGTGCATCTTTCATCTGGAGCGCAATACTCTTATAGCCGCAAAGGTCGACAAACTCCTTGAGGGCCAATTCATCAAAAATGTTGACTACCCTAAATGGTTGTCAAACGTGGTCCTCGTCCGCAAGAACAATGGCAAATGGCGACTCTGTGTCGATTACTCTGACCTAAACCGAGCTTGCCCCAAAGACAGCTATCCTCTGCCCCGCATAGATCTGCTGGTCGACGCCACGGCCGGTCATCAAATGCTTAGCTTCATGGATGCTTTCTTTGGCTACAACCAAATCCTGATGCACCCGTCCGATCAGGAACATACATCCTTCATCACCGACCGAGGTACCTACCATTACCGAGTAATGCCATTCGGATTGAAGAACGCTGGGGCCACCTACCAACGGTTGGTCAATGCCGTCTTCCATCACCAAATAGGCCAGAATATGGAAGTATACATTGACGACATGCTAGTCAAGAGCAAACTCTCCACTGACCATCTGACTGACCTGCGAGAGACCTTCGCTATCCTACGCAAATACCGAATGAAGCTCAACCCAGAGAAGTGCGCCTTCGGCATAGGATCCGGGAAGTTCCTGGGTTTTATGGTCAGTTAGCGGGGCATTGAAACTAACCTGAAAAGATCAAGGCCTTGGTCGAGATGCAGTCACTCAAGACGGTCAAGAAGGTTCAAAGGCTCACTGGCTGAGTTGCAGCCCTCAACCGTTTCATTTCCCGCGCAACAGATAAGTACCTACCGTTCTTCAAAGTTCTTCGACAAACTTTTGAATGGACAACTGAATCTGAAGAGGCTTTTCAGCAGTTAAAGCAGTGCATGGCCAATCCACCCCTTCTTTCACAAGCGATTACGGGCGAGTCCCTCTTCCTCTATTTAGCCGTCTCAAGCACCGCCGTCAGTGCAGCTCTTATCAGGGAAGACGACTCTGTCCAACGGCCGGTCTACTATATCAGTCGGGCTCTCAGGGGAGCTGAGCAAAATTACCCCTTGTTAGAAAAATTATCCTTGGCCTTGGTCACCGCCTCCAGACGACTTCGTCTTTACTTCTAAGCCCATTCCATAGTGGTCCTCACCGACCAACCCTTGAAGAAGGTCATGCAGCAACCAGAACTTTCCGGCAGACTTATGCGTTGGTCTGTGGAACTTAGCCAGTTTGACATCTCTTACGGGCCTCGAACAGCAATTAAGGGACAAGCTATCACCGACTTTATCTTGGAATTCACTAATCCTACCCTAACCACTGCCTCTCCACCCCTTCCAGCTCCCATCAAGCCAGAAGACCCTCACTCTTGGACTCTCAATGTCGACGGATCATCCCGCAGGCAAGGTAGTGGGGCTGGCCTTATTCTCACCAGCCCTGAGGGTGGTTATTTCAAATGTGCGCTCCGCTTCTTGTTTGAGGCCAGTAACAACGAGGCCGAATATGAGGCATTGATAGCAGGCCTTCGCCTAGCCAGAGACATTGGTGTCAGCCACATCCGAGTGCTCAGCGACTCTCAGCTCATAGTTGGACAGATCACGGGCGAATTTGAAGCCAAGGAGGGCACAATGCAGACTTAAAGCGATCTTGCACTTCCCCTAGTTCGCCTCTTCAACACCTTCCACATCAAGCACGTTCCTCGGGCGGAGAACTTTAAGGCAGATGAGATGGCCCAGCTGGCTTCCGCAGACCAGTCCGCCCTCAGCAGTGGTGTTCGCCTCGAATACCGATCCCACCCCGCCATTTCCCCCGACCAGCATGAATTCCTCCAAAATGAGCCCATCCCTTGGGCGTCGGACATCTTTCAATTTCTGACAGCGGGGGAACTTCCAGATGACCACCAGCAAGCCACCAAAGTCAGGGCATGATCGTCTAATTACATCCTTGTCGACGGCATCTTGTACAAACGTGGTTTCTCACGCCCCTACCTGCGGTGCCTCAATCCGACTCAAGCAACTTATGTGATGCAAGAAATTCATGAGCATCTGCGGCAATCACTCGGGCGGCAAGTCTCTAGCCCACAAGATACTCCGTACTGGTTATTTCTGGCCCACTCTTAATCGCGATGTGACCGATTTCGTGCTCAAATGTGATAAGTGTCAACGTTTTGCCAACATCCCCCATGCACCCCCTACAGAGTTGATCACACTTTGCAGCCCTTATCCATTCGCCAAATGGGGGATCGACTTGGTCGGTCCACTCCCTACTGGCCGAGGCCAGACCAAGTTCGCGATCGTCGCCATTGATTACTTCACCAAGTGGGTAGAGGCAGAACCCCTTGCCACCATCACCGAGTGGAACACAACCAATTTCATCTGACAGTCAATCATTTGCAGGTTTGGCATTCCTCAGGCCATCATCTCCGACAACGATAAACAATTTGACAACGCCAAGTACAAGAAGTTCTGTGCCGACCTCCAGATTCAACCTTGTTTCTCATCCCCTAGCCATCCCCTAGCCAATGGCCAAGTTGAGGTCACCAACCGCTCTCTCCTGAAGATCATCAAAACTAAGCTAGAAGCTGCTAAAGGACTTTGGGCTGAGGAGCTACCGAATGTACTCTGGGCTTATCGAACTACAGCTCGGACTTCCACTGGGGAAACCCCTTTTCGCTTAACATATGGCGCTGAGGCGGTTATCCCCGTAGAAGTCGGTTTGCTTACTCCCAGGGTTTCACATCCGGATCTAGCATTAACCGAAGAACTCCGTCGGGCTGACCTCGACCTAATTGAAGAACTTAGAGAGACCACCGCTGTCCGACTGGCCTCATATCAACAGAAAATGAGAACACACTACAACCGCAAGGTCCAACCGAGGGAGTTCGCTGTAGGGGATCTTGTCTTGAGAGAAGCAACTCTTGCTACCAAAAATCCGACAGAGGGTAAATTGGCAGCCAAGTGGGATGGACCTTACATTGTGAAAGCCCGACCCCGACCAGGCACTTACCGACTTCAGGACATGGAAGGTCGAGACCTCCCCCACCCATGGAACCCCGAACACCTTAAACGTTACTTTCAATAAGCACTTATTTTTGTATTGCTCAGTTATTGTATTTTCTTTTCGGGAAATTCACACATTCTTGATATTCCACCACGCAATGTAACTTCTTGATTATATATCTCAGTTATCTATATGTTGTCTCAGTAACATTCTTATTTGCAGCACTAAAAGCCTCCACCAAAACTGAGCACTAAAAGCCTCAGTTAGACTGAGCACTAAAAGCCTCTGCCAGACAGAGCACTTAAAGCCTCAGCCCGACTGAGCACTAAAAGCCTCTGCCAGACAGAGCACTTAAAGCCTCTGCCAGACAAAGCACTAAAAGCCTCAGCCAGACTAAGCACTAAAAGCCTCTGCCAGACAGAGCACTTAAAGCCTCAGCCAGATAGAGCACTAAAAGCCTCAGCCAGACAGAGCACTAAAAGCCTCAGCCAAACTGAGCACTAAAAGCCTCAGCCAGACTGAGCACTAAAAGCCTCTGCTAGACTGAGCACTTAAAGCCTCTGCCAGACTGAGCACTTAAAGCCTCAGCCAGACTGAGCACTTAAAGCCTCATCCAGACTAAGCATGAGCCGCCTTGGGCAGTCCGACCGTTAACACCCTCTACCGGACCGAGCGCTAAAAGCTCCATCCAGACTGAGCGTGAAGCACTCGTCCAGACCTAACATGTAGGGCTCGGTCAAAACCACCAATGCAAAACTTCATACTTGTGGAATTAACTAACACACTTAGTCACAATTCCAGGTTCAAGTCTTCACACCACTCTTTGCTTAGTCAAAATCCAAAGACGTTCTTATCATTTTATTACATTCAACTTTCTCAGGCCTATCATTTTATTACATTTCAAATTTTACTCTGCATTGTGAAGTTCTTAAATTTCACTATCATTTTATTACATTTAACTTTCTCAGGCCTATTATTTTATTACATTTTAAATTTCACTCTGCATTGTGGAATTCTTAACTTCACTCTACATTGAGTCCTTATTACAAGCTTCAATTTCACTCTTATTAACAAGGAGTTCTACACACACTTCGCCCACGCCTCATTTATCTAAGATCCACAAACAGAAATAATCAAATAACAAACACAACTGAAATTTTATTCGCTCACAACTTTATACAAAAGTTCATTACAGCAATTCATGTACAAAAGTTCATTACAACAATTCAAAAACAAAAAAAATAAAAACAAAACAACAAAGTATCTTTTTCTCCTTCATCCCCAGTTACTCCTCCTCACTGGAGAGGAGGTCTTCTTCTTCAATGCCTTTATCTAGGGGGGTTTGGGCTACATCGTCTTCGCCAATCGTTACATTACTAAGGTCTAAGTCTGGGAACAGCTCTTCAGCTCTACGTTTGAACATCTTCCAGCCACTGTCCCAGTACTCAGCCATTTCGTGCTTATAAAAGTCTGACTGCTGGAAGCTCTCAATAACTTCTGCTTCAGTTCTACCTCCAGCGGTCGTCCTCGATGGACCAGCCTCCCCAGATTCTTGCCCAGCCAGGCTACTCGCGACCGCGGCATCAACCGCCGTCTGAAATTCGGCAGACCCTTTGAATTGCTCCACTACTGCGACACACAAATCGGGATAAGTCGCCCTTTCAGAGGCTGCCTTTGCCCTCTCTTCATTCAGCTCTTTCTGCAGGGCTGCCCTTTCCGACGCCGCCTTTGCCTTCTCCGCCTCCAGTTCCTTCTTCAGGCTCTCCTTCTCCGTCGTCGCCTGCACTCTCTCTGCTTCTAACTCCCTCTGAAGCCTCCCTTTCTCCTCCACTGCCTTGGCGCGCTCGCCCTCCAGTTCCCTCTGGAGATCGCCCACTTTGCCATCAGCCTCATCTTTTTGCCTCACCGGCTCTTCATTACTACTTATAGCCTCTTCATGTCGCTCGACCGCGACGGCGCTGGCTCTTTGGGCCTCATCCAACTTCTTCTGCTCGCCAGCAAGTTGGAACTCGAGCGACACAACCTGGCGGCGTGTGTCCTCCAGCTCCGCTTTAACTGCTGGCAGCTCAGTGTGGGCACTCTCCCAACTTGCACTCTTCTTCTTTAACTTTGCAAGTTGAGCCTTGGCCTCATCTGTCTTGAGTTTGGCAGCCCCCGCCTTCCTCAGCAGGGCCCCTACTAAGGTGGTTACCTCCATTTGAATGGAGTATAACCCCCTTAGCAGTTCAGCCTCGTTAAATCTGAAGACCGAGCGCAGGGCTGCCTCTTCTACAATCCCTACAAGATAGTCTGCCCCTGCCCTGGCTGGGCCTTCTTCTCCCTCCAGCCGCCCCGCCACCGCACGAGCATGGTAGATCGTCGTGGTCGCACCAATTCCTCCTTCTTGAGGTGCAAGCCCCCCCTGGGGCTGTTCCTCCCTCCTTGGCCCAGGGCCAGCAGCCTCGTCCTCCACTTGCCTTTCGGGGACGGCCTTTACGAGCCCGACGGCGATCGCCACCACCACTGGCACCACCTCCATGACCTCTGAGGCAACATCCACCACTTCTGGGCCACCTACCTTTCCTGGGACCCCCTCCACTTCTCCCCCTTCAGACCTCGCGGCCGCACTGGCTTCCTTCACACTCATCTCCATCCTCCTCTTCTGGGCAGGCACTTCCTCACTCCAACTCACTCTCTTCTTCTTCTTCCCCACGCCCAACGCCTCCATCTCCTTCAAGGACCTCTCCTTCAAAGGGTCTGTTGGAGGCGCCGCGGCACAAAATTGCCCAAGTTTTTCTCTCCCAAGTGTTTGGGGCGATGTCGAATCCTCTCCCTCGCAACTGGTTTTGGTGGTCGGTCGGCTTGGGACTCTTTGAATTGTTGGGCTTTAGCAAGAATGGCCTGATCCTCCGCCTCCTGAACCCTTCTCCTCGCCTCCAACTCCGCTCGGTCGAGGTCTCCACTACTTGGCTTTGGCCCCAACCCCGCCTCAAACAATGCCGACGGCTGAACGAGCTCGTTCCATTTGGCCTTTTCTCTCTCCCTCCACTCCTTCACCCTCTTCACCCTCCCCTCCGCAGCTGCCCCCAGTTTCAGCTCCACAGACCTAATGAGTACTTTCCAAATGGTGCGTGCTCCAAGCCCCCCATTGGCAGACACGTAGAACCATCGCGGCCGCCACCCCTTGATCCACGACGGCAGACCCGCCACCAATCCCTTCCCCACTGCTGCTTGCAGAGTGATCCACGTCTCCTACTGTCTTGAAGCCTTATAACACGCAAAGAATTCGTCTACCGTCATGGCCTCCCCTTCATTTGCCTTCGGCCACGCACTTGCACAGGCCAGCAGGATCTTCCATGCGTTGGGCATTAGTTGCCCCGGTGCTATCTCTAGACGGTTAAGCACATCCACCACCACTTGCTGCAGTAGCAACCTCAGTCTACCCTTCAGAGCTTCCTCATAAAGGGAAAACTCTCCTGGCCTGGCGTCAGACGGCCTTTCCGTTGATGTCGGCAGCAATAACTCCACTTTCCCAAGGATCTGGTATTTTTCGCGGATAGCCTCTAACTCCGCCTCAGTAATCATGGATTCGTCAGCCTTCGTGTGCCAATGATCTGGTTCCGCCTAGCTGATTGGCTTTGGAGCTGTTATCATGGTGGAACCGTGAGATCGTACCACCGACTCCCCCACCCTCTCTGTCCTATACTGCGCCGCTAGCTCCACAGCATCATCATCTCCAAACAGGTCTACCCTGACAATCGCATTCCCTTCTTGGGCCATTTCTGTGGTTTGTTTGCGAATCGCTTCAGCGGCTGGAACGAGGAAATCAAAAAAATGTTGCAGAGGTGTATTGTGAGCAACAAAGGAATCCACACTTTGAATATTTTGATTTTTCGTAAACAGGTAGGTGAATCGAATAATGCCAAAAGCCCACGGTTTGCCCGTATTCCAAGGATCCCAATTAATTTCCGCCAGTTTGAAAACTTTTCAAAATCATCCGCCAAAACTGTCTCCTCAACACCCATAGGGTGCGTTTTTTTGGACGGACTGGATAAGGGGGGATTGTAATCCATCGGACTGTTAGTCCTGGGTTACATTGTCCCTGGATTATTTTGTCGGACTGGATTTGTATCCTATGTTTGTTTAGTCATGGGATTAGATGTCTGAATTGGACTATTCTATTGAATCCCATGTTTGTTTGGGCTATTATGGAGAAGGATAAATGTTCAAAAGACTATTTTGCCCTTCTGAATTATTTACTAAATAATAAGAATATTAAATCTGAATTATAAATTTTATTTAATTTGTTTACTAGAACTTTTAAAATATTAAATAAATAGAATATTAATAAATATTACATAAATTTATTTTAATTTGTAATTGAGATTTTTAATTTTTTTTACTTTATTAAAATCACAATTTTATTATCATAAAAAATCACAATTTGTTTATCACAATTTTTAATTGAGATTTATTATCACAATTTTATTATCAAACATCTAGTTAATTTGTTTACTAGAACTTTCAATTTTTTTATAATAGATTTTTTTTTTAATTTAATTTGTAAAAAATCACAATTTTATTATCATAAAAAATCAAATGATAACCTGAAAGTAAAAAAATATGGTCAAAGATGGGAAAAGCTCTGAAAGAAAAATGGGAAAAGCTAAAACAAAAAGATAGGGTCAAAGATGTAATAAACCTAGCTAATCCCATGGGATACACTGTCCCATAAATTCTATCCCAGGCCCCCCCCCTCGGATACAATAAGCCAATGAATCCCGGATTAATAGTCCGGGGGGATTATTTATCCAGACCAAAAAATCCATACCAAACAACGGACTATTAATCCCTCCGGATTAATAGTCCAATCCCATGAGTTATCCTTCAAAACAAACGAGCCCATAATGACTTACCGTTTCATTTCTGATCCAACGCCTAATCTCCCCCCTACGGGATGTTGTCACGTGTACGTCCACGATCCACTGTCCCCTTCCCTTACCCTGTCTTTTCCACTTCAACTCACCACGTGACTCGCCGCGTCTCGAGCCCCACGCCCCTCCACCTCACCATTCACGGTCGGCCCTCCTCGTGGTCCGCCCTCTCACTCGGCCAAACGTCACGGTTGGCCCTCCTCGTGGTCGACCCTTCTGCTTGGTCAAACACCGCGGTCAGCCCTCCTCGTGGTCAGCCCTCCCACTCGGCCAACACCACGGTCGGCCCTTCTCGTGGTCCTCCCTCCCGCTCGGTCAAACACCGCGGTTGGCCCTCCCCGCGGTCAGCCCTCCCACTCGTCAAACACCGCGGTCGGCCCTCCCACTCGGCCAACACTACGGTCGGCCCTCCTCGTGGTCCGCCCTCCCACTCGGCCAAACGCCGCAGTCGGCCCTCCTCGCGGTTGGCCCTCCCAGTCAGCCAGCACCGCGGTCGCCCCTTCTCGTGGTCAGCCCTCCCGCTCGGCCAACCACCGTGGTCGGCCGCCCCCTCGATCACCCCTTCTGGTCGACCTCCATCCTGCCAATCCCTAACATACTCATCTATGTCACTAATATTCCCTTCGTTGGACTGAAGCTGCACTAGGGAATGGGGGACTACTGACATGTATAAGCCCATAAAGGCCATGAATCAACTATGGCCCATCACTTGAAGCCCAGTGCATGACCTAGTTGACGAGGTCCAGGATAGCTGGAGTCCAACATGGCATAAAGAGCCAATGACATTCAGACACACGGAAAGAGAAGGACGAACCACATCAGCAGACAAAGATCTGCAAAGTTATTGCCACTGCACATCACCATTAATGTAGCCCATCACAGCATTTATTACGACAACACCTCTCTGCCGGAACAAGACCCCCTTACCCTGAGCAAGGTAAGCTACAGCATAGGCTTTCGGCAAGGAGAGCAGGTCGGAAGGGACAACGAAATGATTACCAAATGATATAAGCGAACGTTGTAGATAAGAAAAAGGTTAAGTTTTCTATCTCTGATCTTCTCCCATATACTCTACTTCTCTTCCTAACTTGCTCGTCCGGGAGTTCACTGGGGGACTACCCTGTTCCCCGTTGAACTTGCCTGCAGGTTATCTGGTCAGCTTGATCATTTGGACGCGGGCTGGAGGAGTTTGGACCTGCCTGATCCATTCACTGGGACGAACAGCATTAACATATTTATTTATTTATATATATAAAAAAATAATAATGGTATAGTCTTGATTGGCTTAGATGTTATTTCATTAAAATAGTCAATAATCCTTTAAAAAAGTTAAAAATTTTAAAAGTTACTATCCTATTTAAGTCGTATCATCTTATTTAAATCACATCACCTCTCTATCACATCACTTCAAACATTTTATCTCAAACAACTCTCAAATATATAATGAATTAAAATAGTTAATAAGATAAAATGTCACATTTAATTCATACTCATTATACTTTTTAACTCATAATTATTAAATCAAAATAATAATAATAATAATTATCATTTCAAGCATAATTTTTTTTTTCTTTTTTGGGGGACTAGACTAAAGAGGTTGTTTGAAATAATGTAAATAAGTTTTTTTTTTTGTCAAATTAGTAAAAAAATTTGATATATTTAAAATATTTTTTTAACTTTTTTTTGTAAAAAGAACATAATATTAAATAATTAGATATTTTAAATGACATTTTTGCCAAACAATCGTTAAGTCACCTTACATGGCAGAGCTTCAGAGTTTGCCCCCCATTCTCTCTCTTGCTTTTCTCTTTGTCTTGCTGGTGAAGAGAGTGATGATGGAAATGGACGCATCTATTTATATACGATCAGCATGTGTCAAGTCCGAAATTGGAGATTGGACAACATTGTTAAATCTGTGAGGGCCTATTACAATTATCGTTTTAATAATTTGAATCGTTTAATATATAGAATTTGTCAAGTATTATATATTTGTAAAAAATTACATTGATCAGATATCAATAACTATATAATTAAATCAGTTTTGTATTAAAAAAAATAGACGGTGAAAAAATTAACGGATGACAAAAAACTATTTTGATTACATAGTTATCGATATCTAATCAGCGTGATTTTTAATAGATATATAGTACTCGACGATTTTTATACATTAAACAGTTTAGATTATTAAAAAGGGACCTATGGTAGACATCCACTACAGGAAAAGTGGGTTTATGAGACGGAACTATTTGCGACGACACACTTGCCGTCTCAAAAAGTCACTTTTTGATACGGCAGAAAATGCCGTCTCAAAAAAATAGAGTATTTGCGACGGCACCATTTGCCGTCTCAAAAAAGCAGAGCATTTGCGACGGCACTATTTACCGTCGCAAATGCTCTCATTTTTTGAGACGCCAGATGGTGCCGTCACAAATACTCTGCTTTTTTGAGACGGCATTTTCTGCCATCGCAAAAAGTGACTTTCGTGTTTTTTTTTAATCTTAAGTTTTTTTATTTTTAAATTTATATATATATAAAAAATACTCTCAACTACCCTTCAATTTTAAATTTTTAAAATTTTAAAAAATCTTAAATCCTAATTTTTCTAAACCATATCGTTTTTTATTTTACTTCGATTTATGCCCACCAAAACTTTAGTTGAAACAGTTATCTGTGAGCAATTATTAAGAGCATCTACATCAAACAATTTAAAATTATTTTT